AACTTTTTGTTAGCACTTCAACATGCGCCGCGGAATTCCGACTTGCATGTCCAAGCGCACTGGAATAACGTTACGACCTCACAACACACAACACTGATTGAAGCACGTCTACTCCAGTAGATTTTTTTGAGCGATTGACAACAGAGTGGTCCTGGTGGAGCGAGGGTCGCAACTCGAGTGAGCTCCTCAATACGACTTAGCATTTGGGACTCCGATCAAAGTATACGACGCACCCGTATCGGTTTGCCCCTGACGTTGCAGTAGACGATATGGCTAGTTCCAAGACCCTTGTTACCGGAGTAGTTCGCCTGATGCACCGGGGCGTGAGGCTCTGGTTGTCCCTTGCCGACCTGCACGGGATTCAAGCGGCGGGCGAGGGAGTGTGANACAGACAGACAATTCGCACGGGCTGATGCATATTCATTCTTTCGAGATAACCTGCCAAAAACACTAAGCAAGGTTTTACCCACTCTACGCATGTCACACATCAGCAACCAACGTAGGTGCTAGCCTTTTAAGTCCTACCTTGGCAGGGTTCCGCATGTTCACCATGGTGCCGTCGGCGATGTAAGCTACACGAGGGAAATCCGGGTGACCCCAGGTTTGAAGGAAAGTGCAATGAGCTGCCCGCTCCGCTGCGTCAGGCCACTGGATCTCCTGTACCACACGACCATGGAAGCGAACAGAACCTATGAGTCAACTTCATGTTGAAATACAGTGTGAACTTATCGCGCACAGCAGACTCTCCTTACACAACTCTTTCACGCGCTGACAGGGAGCGTGTACGCGTCAGATAACGGGATTCCCTAGACATTGCGGTGGGCTCGTGACGGGCTAGTGCTGGTGTCGAGCGTCGGCCTGTTTCCGCTGACGGTTCTGCAGTAACACGAGGTAGACGCATGGCTCTAATCCTGAATGTCTTCCCTCGAGTCATGCCAAATATCGCTTCCCACTCCGAATTCTCAGCGTATCATGAGTCAAGTTTGTGTTTTGTAGAATACAACTGCAAATCAACGCATGCACTCACACCTCTTGCAGACAAGGCATGTTCTGCGCGGCCGCCGTCGTGTCCTTGAACTCGTTGTGATACGTCCCAGCACACCGTCCATATGCGAGGGCCATGTCCTCGAACAAAGTGTCCCTCCTGAGCATCTCCAGCCAGCACAAAACTCGGTCTCTGTCATCTATGCTCCCCCGGATGACCCGCCTGGCCTTGTTGTCCTCCGCCGAGTAGTTTCCGAGGTGGTTCCGAGCTTGCCCAAACAGCCATGAGCGGGCGAGACGGTTTCCCTCAGCATCCAGGAACATGTCTTCGTAAAAGTCGTCGAACTCGTCCTTCTCCATCTCTGTTTTGTAACGAATCTGGCTGCTACTGTGGGCATCATAGATCCCGCCCTCCTCGCTAGGGAACCTGAAGGGGCAGACGTGCGCGACTGGCAGTGTCGTTCGCGGCGCTGTTACCCCTGCCAATGCGAGGGAGTAGGGGTCCGAGCTTCTTCAGATTGCTGAATGGACCGAAATAATCCTCCCGCCCCAAATCTGAGTTTTAAATAACTCTCAGGCAACGTGCGGCGGAATATTTTTCGTGTCAATTTACCAACCGGTACTTATTTTCGTGTCAATTTGCCAACCGTCACTTTTTTTCGTGTCAATCTGTCTCAGTCCAAAATTTTCGTGTCAATTTAACGTGGGAACCCAGGAAATTTTGGACCAAACATTCGGAATGTATGAAACGGCCCTAACTGTCTGTCTGGTAATGTTCTGTTTGTTGTGTTGTCACTAGGTTTCGCCTCCTACTTTTAACGCTTTGCTCGCGTAGCGTTGCGCACCTCCAACGGCAAGCAGAGTATTGTACGTGTCACGAGTCGCTAGCACGCAGGGCTGTGGAAACCCGAGTTCGATTCTCGGATTGGACACCATGTCACGAGTCGCTAGCACGCAGGGTAGAGGTCTCAAGTATGTAAGCAGTAAGTACGTAACAGCTCCCGTTCACGGCACGGTTTATGGTGCGAGGAAGGGGATTATTATTGATCCTGACAGGTGTTCGCTCATGCAACGTTGCACACACACACACTGACCTCTTCTTGTGCAATCGAACGACTGTACCGAGTGCGAAGATACATCGTACCAGCTGTAGTAGCCGATGTAGTGTCGGAGCAAAGGCCTCCTTGTNATTGATCCTGACAGGTGTTCGCTCATGCAACGTTGCACACACACACACTGACCTCTTCTTGTGCAATCGAACGACTGTACCGAGTGCGA